ATAATAATTTGTTTGATGAAATGCCCAATCTTGGAATCAAAAGAGCGTTTTGATCAAATGATCAACAAATATTTGTTGGAAACCAATATAATTACCAAACAATAGGAACAGAGATGTTTGTGAAAGGAGTTCAATAATTTTCAAATTGGTTTCCAAATAATAGACGGCAGAAATCCAAGTAAAGAATAATTTACTCTCAAAATCATAGATTCTTAAAAATCTGTAAAATAACCCAGAGACAGTGAATTAATAATTGCAGACTCTTGTAAGGGTTAGACTTCTAAGCAATGTTGTGACTTTGTGAGGGCTTCGAGGACCTAAGCACATCCAACAAGATTTTATCCATATTATGCTAGGGGGCATGAAATATGGTCCCAAAGAAAGAAAAAGGTCATTTTATCAATAATGTATGGATAATCCTAATGGAATAGGCCATGAAATATGGTCCCAAAGAAAGAAAAAGGTCATTTTATCAATAATGTATGGATAATCCTAATGGAATAGGGCATGAAATATGGTCCCAAAGAAAGAAAAAGGTCATTTTATCAATAATGTATGGATAATCCTAATGGAATAGGGCATATCAAGGTTTTAAAAATTGGCGAACTACTGGAACTAGCGGATTGGGATCAGGAATCATTAAGGCCAGTCCGATTCTACTTAACTATTGTTCCGGCTAGTTCTGTTAGAGAACTAGTTTCACTTTATTTTTAAATATTTTTTTAATTTTTATGTTCTCTAATTTTTTAAATTTATGAAAAACACGTTAAACATATATCATTTTTAGGACTTGAAATCCTTTTTGTTTATTTTATTGGCGAAGTCAAGATGATAGATTTGTAGGGTTTGTAACGCTGGAATTGATGTTCTAGTTTCTAGCACTAGAAGATCATATGCTCCATGTGAGCATATAATCCATTATGTTCCGTGGATAAAATTCTACCTATATTTTATGACCTTAAATTTTTGGGATGAAACTTTTTCAATCTAGTAACAAATATAAATAAACTCAAATACCAACCCCTTATGGAGCAATTACATATAAAGTAAGACTAGCTTATAAACTATACTTTCATAGCACAAATTACATAAACTATGTCCCAAAGCTTAAATACATCATGCAACTAATCTAAACAAAATTCTAAAGAATAAAATCAACTAAATAGGGAATTAGAATGCCAAATTAAAATAGGGAAGTCATGTTTCGAACCCCTTGTGTCGGGGCCACGCAATAGGGCTCTATAAGGACTTAATTTTGTCCCTTCGGATTTTACAAAAGTGGTTCAATCTCACAAGAGTGTCTAATCCAAATGAGAAGAAATTACACACCTTAAAATAACTTCTTAATATCTCAACACATTGGCATTATCATCCAAAACATAATACAAAATATTTGAATCGAATTGGATAAAGAACAAGTGAGTTATGGCCAAACTACACACGGTGGTCCCTCGGACCACCAAAACATTCTTGTATGGAAAGATTATGAACCCCCATAGGTAAAAACGTGATGAAAAACTTTTAAAAATGGAGTAACATTCTGAGACTAAATTATTTGATGGGTTTGAAGCAAAGTAATTAAATGATACTATGCATGATCATGGATTCTCATGCATATAGGCTATAACTCATAAAGGACCACACTATGAATAAGCACGATGAAAAAGATGATCAAATAGGGATTCTAAGATCAATGAAGCTTTTCTAAATTCAAAACTCCAATAATTATAAATGCCAAGGATATGATCTTATGAGAAAAGAAAATTCAATAGAGTTTACCTTGATAAATGTACACCATGGACTTAGGCATAAGAAAGGAGGGCAACTATCAAGATCACCATTAATGGAACTCTAAAACTTTTCTCTCTTCAATTTTCTCTCACAAAACCTTAGAAGAAAGAGGGGAGTAATAATTTTCCAAAATGGTTCAAGAGTTTAGATAGTTAAGGTTTGAGATCTCATAATGTGCTTTTATAACATGGGTGTAACTTTGGATTCAGTCAACACCCTTGATGCACTAATCCAAAGGCACATGAGAGGCTAATATACCTAGTCATCCATCTCCATTCAACCACTAGGATGAAGGGATGGGATTTCACACCATTATCACTTACCCTAACCCTAAGTTATGCCACTTTACCATTTTATCGCTAGTCCATGTTTTTGTTCCAATTGTATCCAATATGGCCTTACAAAAATACCCTTAGTTTTTTTAATAATATATTAGAGTAGATAACCACAAAGGCTGAAGGGCAAAGAAGTAATTGGCAAAGCTCACACATGTGGAGATATTCTTCTTTATCAAAGCCAATCACTTTGTAGATCTAAAATTTCAAACCAATCAATTTAAAGATAATGTCCCTTTCACACATGTGTGTGAAGATATTTTTCAACTCAATTTTGAAAATGTATTTTCTCTTTAATATCAAATCAATTAATTAATTAAACTTCACATATGTCATGCATGACCCATGTGTGAGTTAATTAAGACATGTGATAAAAAGGTGGCATTAATTTACAATATTGTATAACAAAATATAACAATGGATAACAAGACATCATAACACAACCCCTTATGAAACAAGCAACCAAATGCCAATCTAGTCCCCCGCCTAGGGATCAATGCCCAGCTGGGCGGTGATCCTAGAGTGAGGTGTGGGGTGCCATGTGGCAACCGTATGGCCACTCGGACGCCACATGGTACTACCAAGTCAGAACTAAAATGGAATTCGAGCCAAACAATATAAAAAGCCTTATTTTTTTAGCAAATAAAATTCTGAAAAATTCTGAAAAGTTCTCTAAAATTCACAATAGATATTTAAAATATTTTTTTAATTGTTAGGTTTTTTTCATCATTATAAAATCGGATAAAATGTATAGTGAGATCTCAGGCTAATAACTATAGGTATCGGAGTACTCCATTGGGCTAGTCAAAAATGATATTCTACCGAATCTCAGATCAACCCAATTGATCCATGTTCCACAATCTAAAACACGAACACATAATTGGCCATATCAAAGCCTCTGAGTCAGAACTTTCGATCATTCGACTCTCAATGGATTACAGGTGTATTCTTATGGGACATGATCCAACTCATTTACATGGGTCATCTCAAAGCACATGTGCACCGGCTCTTCTAAACTCGGATAATGCATTTAGAAGAGTGGCTTCCCATACAAAATAAAAATGCACATGCCATGCAATGGTCTTGTGTCAAGATACGGACTTATGTCTCATAAGTCTTGACCATTCCATATAGTGCGAATACTCAATAAGTACTCGGGCTTCTATTTTTCTCTTTTGGATTCTCTAAGCCCTGGCTGATTTCAGCTAAACATGAGGATAACCTACAAAATCCTGACTAGGAGGTGACTCTCACACCTCCTTGAGAAATTGTGTTCTCAACATGTGAACTCTCGATACCTCATGTGCACTCGGGGTAAAAGAATCCGTGCTTCATTTCGCAAGACGTTAAGATTTCAATCTCTCAATTGCTCCCACTGAATGAGAGACTACTGGAATTTAAGCCTTAATAGGCCATATTTTTAACAAAAATGTATGGATATAAAAGGAAAAATAGATTTCAAATCCTAAAAATAGTATATCTACACATTATCTAGACCATCTATGTAAAGCTGCTTAATTTATACTATATTTAGAGCTTTGAATTTTATAATTAAGGGTCAAAGTAGATTTTTTGGCCATCGTAAGGGTTTCGAGACCAGAGCAACCTTTCGAGGTGGATTTTCTAGGTGCACCTTATTTCTACTGGATAATGTTAACACCTACAAATCACACACTTTAAGTAAGGAAAAAGTTTATATAAAGTTGCAACCTTAAATGTAGAATTACATATGCACCTCAAAAACCTATCCAAAAAGGTTGTTTTAATGTTGAAAAACCCTCTAATCGATCATCTCGACAACAATATGTACGAATATAAAAAAAAAAAAAATTGACTCTTAAAAATAGTGCGTCTTACAACACATTATTTGTACCGTCTATTTTCAAGATTTTCATATGTTTATAGATCTTCTTGATTTTAACCATTTTTGGAGTTTAAAATTTTATAATTAGATATAAAAATAAATTTTGAGATAATCTTAATAAAATTCTACATCAAAATTATATGTTATGATAAAATTTGGAGATACGCCTTAATTGAATTGTTTAAGGTTTCAACCTTATAGAAACCACAACTTTTAAGTAATGTTTCCCTATAATTTATTGTCCATGTTATACCCTGGATCATGAATAAAAGTGTCATTATAAATATTATTTTTATTTAGACTTCCATTTTTAACTAAAATAAGGATTTCTTGAAGTCTAAATTCATTTATTATAAATAAGATTCTATGTAGAGAATTTAGAATAAAGTTAAATGTTGTTTTGCTTAAAGTATTGGTTTCACCTAAGGTAAACTTGGCTTGTAAGTCTCCCTTCTTCAAACAATTCATTTCTTTACTCATGTGAGAGGAGAGAGAGTTCGAAGGAAAGCACAAGGAAAGAGAGAGAGAGAGAGAGAGAAAGGAGAGGGCTGGAGAGGGAGAGAATGGTTTGAAGGTGAGGAAAGAAAGGAGAGAGAAGAGAGTGGGGAACATTGTCAGGAATGAAGGCAAGTTTAGATGGAGAAGATGGACATAGTTGCAGGCAAGAGGTATGAAAATTGAAGAGAAATTGAATATGGATCTCGTTTGAGGGGCACCCAATGGATCTCAATATGGTTGGGAAACCTAGCTTCCACATAATTGCTGCACTGGCATTTTGCGAAGAGCTTTTTAAGAGAAAATATATCTAAGATCTTCCCCCAATTTACTCTCTCTCTCTCTCTCTCTCAAATAGAGACATGGGGATGGAGATATCGCGCTTCTTGATCTTAAACTCAAGATACACGATCTCTGCAGAAAAAGATCTTATCAATTAAGAAGCCCTTCCACAAATCTGCTACTTTTTTTTTTCTTAATAAATCTCAATTATTATAGAGAGAAAACACAAACAGTAAGGGTTTCAAGACATTTCTTTGCTTATTAATCACAGCGGAAATCAAGATGTATCTGCAATATCTAGACCTCGAAATCCTTCCATAGTATCACACAACATAATCTTCAATGCATGGACTTGACATGCTTCATTGGATAGGTTACCGTGCAGCTTCCTGGTTCGTCTGTGAAGCTTCACGTTCAGCATTACGCTTCACTGTCCTCACATATATTTCATAGCAACAACCTGCCATGAAAAGCAGTTGCAGGTGCCAGTTAAAAAAGTGTCCATACTTCGATTAGAGTAAAAAAAGAAGAAGCCAGCAAGTTTATGCATGAGAAAATGCTCAGCTCTGAAACTAAGTTAAAATCCCGAGCAACAAAACACTGTGCAAGAAAGCAGCTTTGTTGCCCAGTAATAGCCCCAAATAGTTTTACCAGTAAATCAAACAAGAATGCATACATAATACACGATAATGATGAAAACTTCGAGATACAAAATTCCTGACAGCATGCAGCAAGCATGAGATTCAAAGAAGACCAGGATGGTTAAATTCATAACAGCAACCACTACTTAAGACACGTCACCATCACCAGAAATGTACATGAACCTAATATATTAAATGGACCAAATTTGTATTATGAAAGACGAGAAAGTGAGGCACAAACTCAGGATGTCTTGTTGAGAGGGATAACCCAGTGTCCTGAAATAAAATGGGATTTGTTCCTGCCCTCAAGTCTCAAATTTAAGCAAGTTCCCATATTATACCAAGAAGTATTTTGAATTTCCGAGTCATGTACAAGCGACAAAATGAAGGATTGCCCTACATTAATGAAAATATATGTATATGATCATGTCTAACAGTAACATGAGAAATGATAATTAATCTGGTGCAATATAGAGATCCACAGGAATGTTTATTGATTCAATGACAGAGAATTGACCTTGGATACCAGCAATCCTGCAACAGGTTTAATGTATATGGCATGGAATGAGGACAGCTTTGTAAGAATCCTTGACAAGTGATGACAGGTTTAGAAAGTAGCTACATACACATGCATGCACTAATAAATGTGCACATTGTAAGACCCAAGAAAGGCTACTCCAATTTGAGACAATGAGAACAAATCACAAAGATAATGAGAGCAGCCGGATTCAGTCAAACAGTATGAGGCATTCTAAACTTTGTCAGAACACAATCCCCTTGCTTGTCTATAGGAAAGAGGACATGGTGTTAACAACTTTGTCAATATTTGACCAGAGTGACAGCCTATGGAATATTTTAGCCATTGCCCTTTTTACGTGATTTGTAGAATAAGGATCAGATGAGAAAAATTAGGCTAAGGCACACAAGAATATTTCTTAGAACACTTGAAGAGGAAAAGCACTATTCATGTCCATATAAAATCTATCCGAAGGTTGGCAAGAGCCAAAACAGGTTAAATGGAAATGCCACTACGGTGAATGGGCCAAAGGTTTCTTCATACCATTAAAAAGAAAACATAAAAATCATATAGCCTATACCATGGTCCATATACATACTCCAAACAATATCCTTGAGCCTAAAATCAAGCCTTCTCCAACAACGAAACAATCAATGAGTTCAGGACAACCCTAGGTAAGACTCTCTGCATAGCAGTGGAGGGAGGTGGGCCCATGTGTGAAGGAAGAGGCTGGACCCACTGATGAGATTACACCCTCCACTGAACAGAGTTCTACTAGAACGCAACCCAACAAAGCTTCTGGGTGCGGCTTTTCTGTAATAGCTTGAACACCCAGCTGTTCCGGGTTCCTTGCTTCCTCAGATTTTGAAAAACATAACTTTTAATTTGATTATCTATGATGAGTCTAAGAAAACCAACCTAAATCTTTAGTAGCGATGACAAAGGAGAAAAGCCAGTAATAAGTATGCTACAGCCTAGGTCTGACCTTTCACCCCTCCAATCTAGCATCCGCCAACCACGGGCAACAGTTAAATCCATATCTAAAATATTCAACCACTATAGTTCAAAAGTCGCACATGGGTACATATTTCCAAAGTGTTATTAAACTGTTATAAACCAGACATCTTGAAATAGAGAAAAAACTGAGGCAATACTCTTCCCAATGAATTAACCATACGAATAAAATTCGGGGCTAACATTTTGACATGAAAAACATAACACCATGAGAAAAACAAGCACGTGCACAATTCACATCTAGAGACTCAAAGATAGCCTAAACAAGTTTTAGAATGTTGGAATGTGTGTGGCATTGATGTAGAGCGAATTTTGCAGGGAAGAAAATCCAATAATCTATTGATACCTACAAGCCACACTTCAATGGCTCTGCATGGTTAAACCAGAAAAAAGATCTCAAAATCTCTATTCCAAATTATCTACATAAACACCTTTAATAATTACAAACCTTACTTAGAGCCCAAGAAATCTTAACTCTAATTCAAATAGAAGTCTAATTAAAACAAAAATCATAATGACATTTTTACCCTTGATACAACAAATATTTCATAAGCACTCTAACTACTTTTCTAAACAACTCCTAAAATCCAATAATCTATTGATACCTACAAGCCAAGCTTCAATGGCTCTGCATGGTTAAACCAGAAAAAAGATCTCAAAATCCCTATTCAAATTATCTACATAAACACCTTTAATAATTAAAAACCTTACTTAGAGCCCAAGAAATCTTAACTCCAATTCAAATAGAAGTCTAATTAAAACAAAATTCATAATGACATTTTTACCCTTGATAAAACAAATATTCTATAAGCACTCTAACTACTTTTCTAAACAACTCCTAAAATCCTAAATTATAATAACAATAAAAAACAAAAATAAAAACTAGAATCCCTAAAAAAAATTAGAAACCTTGAAAATAAACCCTAAAATTAAAACTGAAATATACATACTTTGAAATTAAACAAAATTTAAATATTAGAATAATTTTGTCTTGCATTAGACTCCACTAGTTGGAGAAAGCTCGTCCTTGAGTTTTAAAGTGGTCTAAGATGAATTTTGCATTAGTCCTACAATCTTCTTCAACCAGAACATTATGCTTCAAATTTTTGGACCTATGGGTTATTGACCCAATCAAAATACAATGATTATATATTGAGACTGTGTATGGGTTATTGACCCAATCAAAATACAATGATATTATGCATTGAGACTGTGGCTTTCAAATCAGTGGACATGCACATAAACTCTTTTGAGAATACTTTGAGGAAAAGGTCACTATCTATAGATATAATCTTCTCAATCACACCAACTAGCTGAAATCGCATCAGTTCAGCAATATAACCTTGCTTAAATTTTCTTGGCTCAGCCCTAGACCAGATCAAGGGAGCATCTTCAAGAGGAGCACCAGATTCAATGGTCAAACCAACAACTTCACCTATTGATTCTCCTTGGGACCCTTGTTTTTTTTCTTCGAAAGACTAGATCAATCACAAAATCTTGTTCATCATCATGGATTGAATCTCCTACAAGTTCTTGTTCTTCATCTACGCATGTGTCAAAGATTGATGGCAAATCCCAATCTAAAACCTGCTGAAAAGCTGCTGAAAACCTGCTGAAAGATTGATGGCAAATCCCAATCTAATTCCCTATTTGCTGGCAAATCCCATGTTTGTCTTCTATCACGTTCCTCTTCACTCGACTCCTCATGCAAAGCACAACGATTACTCGACATCTTCTTGAGCCAAAAGATCATTGTCATGCCCATGATTGATGCCTGCAAATTGTTGTGCAAGCTGTTGAACCTATGATATCCTCAATCTCGTAATTTTTAGAATTACGAGGTAGGCCTATGAGAGCCCCCCTACCATGATCCCTCCTTGCTGTCATAGGTTCACCTAAATCACAAACCTTAGGCAGAAAATCAGCCACCCTAGCTGGAATCAGCAATTTCTAAGCTGAAATTAGTAAACTGTGGGCTGAAATAAAACAATTTCTTGACGGAAATCAGTAAACCGTGGGTTAAATTCAGTGAAACTTAGATTTGGCCAAAGATTTTCACCCTCGTCACTAAAGAATTATATGCTCTGATACCAATTGATGTAAAGATAATTTCAGAAGTAAGAAAATCCAATAATCTTTTGATTGAAAAATTGAAGGAAGCCTACAAGCCAGGCTTGATTTGGTTCTGCCTTGGCTAAACCAGAAACAAGACTTACAACTCAACTCCCTATAGTAGACACCTATTTATAATAAAAGACCTTAGTCAGAATGGCCAATTCTAGTTCCTGCAACTCGGTCATATTCCTCCATTACAAACCCGTTTCACCATTGTATTAATAAAGGGAGCCTGTGACACAATAACAATAAAACCCTACATCCGGCCCATCTCCACTGGATACTTTTAATGATTGGTTGAGTTCTTGTGTACATAACCATAAAAAACCAATCGGCGAAAAAAAAATGATAATCGAAACAATAGAAAAGTTGTATCAAACTAGAGTAAGTTAAACTTCAGAGTGAAAAGGATAATGGGGAGATGTCCAATATGGTATGGTTGGTTATAATTCATTGGGATCATTAAGCTCATCATTGGTAAAATAAAATCAAACAACGACCATGGATGCAATCGCAAACCCATAAAGGAAAGGATAACATTTGGAAACTGCAAGCATAACGTTCAAGGGATCACCCTCCAAAACATGAAATATAACAAATTTGGAACTTCCTGCTCCATATAAAGCATATCTAAGATCATTTCTCCTCATAAATTGCGACTAGTCCCAAGTCCAAAGAGGAAAGAAAAAGCCAGTGAATACAAATTGTTTAGTTAATTTAGAAGGTAAAATTAATGACATATTAATAATAAACTTCAGCTCTCAGTGGAAAATAAAACTTACCAGCAACGACAACGACGGTGAGGACATCTCCAACTCTCTTCAGGCGCCATACAGTCTTCTTATGTGACTTGAACCTCTTCAGAGCAGGATCCTCTTCCAATAGCTATAATATAAACATAAAAAGAACAACGCCCAAGTTAAAATGGACTGGAAAAATTGATCCTTGTACTCATAAATGAATGTTAGCAACTTGATTGGTTTCCAATATCACTGGTATCCAAACATCAACGCTACCCAGCCCATTTGGTTAAGGGTAAACTACAAAATACTGTAGTAACATCTACAGACCTCATGTCAAAGAAATTTGCTTAGTTATGGGGAGAGAATATACTGAAGCTATGTTAGGGAGAACCGGATATAGACAACAAACCACATCACACATAATAATCAAAATCAAGGTCAATAATCTTTGCCATGTACAATTTCCACAACCCTGATGGAAGTATTAGGTGAGTGATATTATACATTAAGGGGTTTCCTCATGGTTTTAAGTAGTCATTCATGAATATTTTCCATATCAAATTTAGAATGGATTTCAATAACTACCATGGAAGCTCTCTCTACATATAGGGGATGGTTAGAGAGGTACAGCACACTACTACTCTCTCTCTCTCTCTCTCTCTCTCTCTCTCTCTCTCTCTCTCTCTCTCTCTCTCTCTCTCTCTCCTC